CACATGCCAACAATATATTGGGAAGAAGCTCTCACATATGCAGTATACACTATCAATCGAACACCGTCCAGGTCTCTTGAGTATAAAACACCTCTTCAATCACTTACAGATGCAGTAGTAAGTCCTAAAATTGCTGAACTAACACATAGAGTTTTTGGTTGTGTTGCTTATGTTCACTTACACAAGCATCAGAGAAGTAAGTTGTCTCCTAGAGCTGAAAAGTGTGTGTTCCTTGGCTATGCGAATCACCAGAAAGGATATCAGTGCTACAATCCACAAACCAAGCAAATGTTTACTACTATAGATGTAGATTTTCATGAAACCTTGATATATTTTTCCCCCGAGTCTGAAATTCAGGGGGAGAATTATGATGAAGTTCAAACTTTTGTTCCTCAAGAAATTGATATTGAGATCAGATTGGAGAAAGAAAGTTACAAAGTTGTATCAAGAAATGATGAAAGTATGCAACAATGTTATGATCAACAACCACATAATGAGGAAGATTTTGAGCATGTTGAGATTGAAAATTTTCCTATTGAGGCTAATGATATACCACACTAATCGTCTCCTCAAGAACCTAATACAGAAAAAAAGAATTCTACCAGATCGTGTCATTAGAGGTATCCCTAAGCCTACTTATGATCCTGACCTCACCAGTAAGACAAGATATCCTATGAGTAATTATGTTTGTAACCAGAATTTGTCTAACTCAAATATCGCATTTATAAGTCAATTATCTACTATATCTATTCCTAACAGTGTGCAGGAAGCTTTAGCTGACTCCAGGTGGAAGGATGCTATGAATGAGGAGATGAGATCCTTGCAAAGAAATAAAACATGAGAATTAGTAAATTGTCCAGTTGGAAAGAAACCAGTAGGATGATGGGTGTATACTGTGAAATTTAATGCAGATGACACAATTGAGAGATTCAAAGCTAGATTAGTGGCAAAGGGGTACACACAAGCATATGGAATAGATTACACTGAAACGTTTGCTCCCGTAGCCAAAATTAGTACAGTTCGAGTATTGTTATCTCTAACTATAAACTTTGATTGGTCCTTACAACAATTTGACGTAAAAAATGCCTTCTTACACGGGGAATTGTCTGAAGAAGTTTATATGGAGCTACCAGAAGGATGTGGGATCCCCAATACACATAGCAAGAAGGTATGCAAGTTGAAGAAGTCATTGTATGAACTAAAACAATCGCCACGAGCATGGTTTGATAGATTCACCAAGTCAATGCTTGTTTTTGGATACCGACAGAGCAGTCAAGATCATACCTTGTTTCTAAAGAAAAAGGAAGAAAAGATTACAATTCTTATTGTCTATGTTGATGACATGATAGTTACGGGAAACGATATAGAGGAACGCAAGACATTGAAAGAGTACTTGACAAAGGAATTCGAGATGAATGATCTTGGTCCTTTGAAATATTGTCTTGGAATTGAGGTCTCAAGATCAAAGTCAGATATTTTTCTCTCACAACGAAAGTATGCATTGGATTTACTAAAAGAAATTGGAATGACAGCATGCAAACCAATAAATTCTCCAATTGAAGAAGGATTGAAGCTGTGCATTGAAGAAGATCAAACTCCAACTAATAAGGGAAGATATCAGATACTTGTAGGAAAATTGATGTATCTATCACACACTAGGTCAGATTTAGCTTATGCTCTTAGTGTGGTTAGCCAGTTCATGCACAATCCAGGAGAAAAACACATGGATGCTGGTATACGGATTTTAAGGTATATAAAAGCTGCTCCTGGAAAAAGAGTTATGTTCAAGAAGAACTCCAACTACAAGGATGTGATGGTTTATACTGATGCAGATTGGGCAGATACTCTTGATGATAGAAGATCAACCTCTGGATACTTTACATTTGTAGGAGGTAATCTTGTCACATGGAAAAACAAGAAGCAGAAAGTTGTAGCTAGATCCAGTGCAAAAGCTAAACTTAGAGGAATGGTTCTTGAACTTTGTGAAGGTTTGTGACTCAGACTACTTCTCCAGGATTTAGGGTATGCACATACACGTCCATTCAGTTGTATTGTGATAATAAAGCTGTGCGCGACATTGCTCACAACCCTGTCTAACATGATCGGATGAAGCATGTGGAGGTTGATAGATTTTTCATCAAGGAAATGTTTGATAAAAATATTTTGGAATTGCCAAATATTCGATCTGAAGATCAGTTGACAGACATTCTTACCAAAGGTGTGACAAGTCAGATTTTTAGGAGATTATTGAACAAGTTGGGAATGTATGACATCCATTTACCAACTTGAGAGGGAGTGTTGGGATAAAGATATTTGATTAGCTAAATTATAGGTTTGTATAGCGGTACAAAATATTGTATAATCAGAACTTCCTATATTTAGTCCTGATTTGTTAGAGTAAAATACTATAAGATCATAGTATATGTGTACAAAAATAATATGAATACAAATTATAGAATGAATTCCATGTTTTTCAATTATATCTAATTTAATACTAAAAGTATGATTATTTATATATTATAATATTATCGTATATATATATATATATATATATATATATATATATAAATAAATAAATAAAAGATTTTATCACATTTTTTCAATTCAATAATAAATGATGAGGAATTTTTTAAGTATCAATATAATTAAAATTGACTATAATATTATATTAAAAATAAAAAAAATACTTAGCTCAATAAAATCAATTCGGTATAATAAAAATGTTACTTATTTATATATATAAAATCAATTGGGTATAATAAAAATTTTACTTATTTATATATATAATTGTATTTTTAGTTATCATGAGATTTTATCATATCTAACCTCATTATTCCAAATGTCTTTTTTTATTAAGAGAATTTTTCATCAATATTACTTTTAGACGAGGAAATTTTTTTCGCAGTATTATTTATAAAATTGAGTTAGTTATCCATCATATTTCAATAATTAAATGTTGGTAATTATTATTATTTTATTTTTTTCACAGTTTAGAACTCGATGAGACTCGACGGTGGAAGGAAGGATTACGAAAAATCATTTATTACATTGATGATCAGTGCAACATCAGTCATGTGTGCAGAGAAGGAAAGAGAGGAGCAATGATTTAGGGGAACAACAACATTTCTTTTAGTGGACTCTTTGGGCATTTCAAACCCAAGAGGAAATTGAGGGTTTCTTTTCATTTCTCTATTTTTCTAAAAACAAATATACTTTTCTTTTAATACACAGGAGAATTTGTTTTTATAGAAATAATATTTTACATGAAAATTTAAAATGTTACAACTGACACGGTGACAAAACAACCTCTTGTCAACCGCATTACCTTAATATCCAGATCCAGCCAAATGCTGAAAACCAAGCCTGCTTATGATTTTTTGAGGTTTGTGTCAATTTGATAATGACTCGTTATTCTCACAATACACGACACGACTTCATATCACTCACCAATGTCTTCAACAAATTATCACGGAACAAATACCTTTCAACATCTGAAATTTTGGTGTGGATTTTCATATTCTTAGATATATTTTATTAAATATTTTAGATTACTTAAAATTATACGGGTTTCTTTTTTTATCTATGGAGTTAAAAAAAATTAATTTTACTATATGGGTCGAAAATTTTAAATTTTATCAAAATGAGATAAATTGTGTAATGAAAAATGATTTTGAAGAGTTGAAATTGTGTTTGAAAGCACAAATTTGACTGAAATTGTGTTTCCAATCACAATTTTAGTAGTTTTTTTTTAATTGTGATTTTGAAACACGTTTTTTTTAATGTACTTTCAAATATAATTTTTATATTTTTTATCGTATTTTTATTTTTTTAAATATTTATTTATTAAATAATTTTTTAATTGAATTATTAATTTAATAGAGAATACAATTATTTACACATAATTTAAATTTAATTCACTATATTTATATTAAAATATTATATTATTAAAAAAAATATAAATTTAGTATCGAAATGGACAGTTTGTATGATTATGTCCTTCATTTCAATAAAAGAAATATTTTTTTTGTTTATTTCTAACTTGTACATCTATTTTATTTTGAATCCGATTAGTTGTAGGTCTTCCTGATGTGTCTTGACGCATATTGATTAAGACAAAAAATTGGACCGGTATAAATAGACTAATAATCTTTATTTTGAACAAGATGAAATTGAAATTCATATGTCTTATGAATGCTTTGTAAATTGTAAATCGAATTGATAAATGTAGTCAATTGTAAATGATAAGAAGAACAGACAACCTTAACATGTAACCAAAACCACAAATAAGAAGACCACCTTATGAGACAGTAGTCTTACCATTTTTAATATAAATATAGTGAATTAAATTTAATCATATTTATCTAAATATTTTTATTTTTTATTAAATTAACAATTTTTTTAAAAATAATTATTTATTAAATAATATATTTTAAAAAATTAAAAAACGTGATTTAAAAAAAATTGTGTTTCATACCATGTTTTTTTTTTAATATCATGTTTGAAAGCACAATTTTACTTTTGTGATTTTAAAGGTGAAATCACCTTTTTCTCCCTGTTTTAACCCATTTTGAAAAAATTAAAAAAATTTTAACCCTTACAAATAAAATAAATTTTTTTTAACCCTCTTTAGTAAAAAAAAAAGCCAAATTATACATATTTCATATTTCTTAACAAATTAATTGTTACATGTCAATCAATGGTTCACAACACACTATATTATGTAAATCCCAGTATAAATGCATGAAAAAGTAGGAAGTTTGGAAGGTTGTAAACTTAACAATTTATACCAAGTCATAGCAAAAGCTTCATAAAACAGAGGGCAGAGAACTCTGAAACATTGTAAAATCTCAACCTCTCACTCTACAACTCTCGCATATCATTCTAACATCGATTGCATAGGATCCCTTTTATGTGTTAGATCTGTTATTTTCATGCTGTCACAATTTTGATTCTTCATATATAATATACTTTATTCTTATATATTGGAAAATTTTAGAAGCTCAGAGAAGTTCAGCTTCTGGTTGGTGGTGAAGGCCACCTTTCCAATTGTGGCAATCTGATTGCTCATCTTCTTCTGTTTCTATGCTGTTGCGTCCAGACCCTCCTAGGAAAAGAGGACCTTGTGGAGAGGCAGATTGTGACAAGTTCCCTTTTAATTTTTCATTATCTCCACATTTATCTTGTACCATCAGGCATAAGTCACTATTAGCCTGGCCTACTGAAGAAACTTGAGGTCTTCTAAAATGAAGTCTGTACTTCTGATTCAACCACAAATTTGCATCAGTCATGAACAAAATTAATTTAGGATGTAAAAGATGTTGAAACTAGAGAAAATGAGTTATGTTGTCTAATCACAAGAATGCCAAGCATGTTAACTTTTACAATTAACTACACTGAAAGTAATACCAACAATACTGACACTCCACAATTATAACCCTCTGCGAAATTAGATTCAAGAGTTGTAGAAAATACGTGAAGTTGATTTTCAATGATAACAATTTTAAATTCATTTAACTTTCTTATTTTCTTTCTTTAATAAATATTTATATAAAAGTTTATCCAAACATAATCTAAATAAACACTCACTTGCAAATGGCTTTTCACTTCATCATTTGTCAGGCCTACCACCTGCATCAGTTCTCTAATCTGCTTTGGAGTGGCCACTGCAGTAAGCAAACCAATTTGAGATAAGACCAACTTTTTGAATTCCAGATGGAAGATTCTGAATTCAAAAGAAAAATAAAAAGAAAAAATCGTCCACCATTGATTATGCAGATAAGGTCAAGAATTTGTGAGCCCAACCTAATTTGCAAAAGAAGGAATCATTCACACTTATAAACCTTCTCCCTCCCTTAATTATGTTTAGATGCTAACTTTAATCTACCTTGTGGTCCCCCTAATTGTTGAAGGGCATCAACAAATCGCCTATGAAGCTCTGGTGACCAGCATCTCCTTTGTTTCCTCGGATTCTGCTGCGGTTGTGCTTGACCCTTTATCTCAGCTGAGCTTGCAATCATGGACGACCCATGTTCATAGCCACTTTCTGTTTTTATATGATTCAATTCAAACACTGGTCTCATCAAACCAAGAATAGGAACCTGTGACACCCCCTTGTCTTCACTCACCACTGTCTTTGAGACACCCTTGTTTCCATTGAATGCTAGTGATGCTCCGCCACTCCTGTGGGTCTCATTCTGTGATTGGATTGGATTGTTGGGGACGCATCGATCGTCCTCTTCATTCCTCTGCCGTTACCAAATAAAAATAATTAAACTTTTGGTCTTAATTCTGTAGAAACTGCTGCAAAATACAATCCTTTTACCTGAAAAATTATTATATGGCCTGAAAACCGCCATAGGATAGGATAACTATGGTCTAACAGCCATCATATATGATATAGGATAACTATAGTTATGTCAATCTTCGACACATACACACAAAAAAACTTAATTGTATGTCATTTGATAATCAATTGTAGTCATAAACATGTGAACTACATAGTAATTTCAGAAAGCAAAAAGAATTTATGCTCTAGAATTTTTACCGGTTTGGATTCAACGTTCCATAGCTGAACAGAGTTCATCCAATTCTTCATGTCACTGCGTTCCTTACCCATGTTCAAAGACTCACTTCCGCCAGAATTGGTTTTCATAAGTGGCATAAATTCTTCAACCACGGGTTCATCTTGGATTCTCACACCTCCGTTTATCTCCTCTTTCAATTTAGTTATAGCTTCATGCAGATTGCAGACCCCCAAAGAATATATTAATCTCAAAAGAACCACAACATACGCAATAATCACATAAAAATGTTCACTTTGAAAATTCTATGAACAAAAGATAATTACTTAACCCACCATCGTTCACAAGGACCATGCAAAGAGGAAGTTCACGTTTGAAGGCCTCGATCTTCCTCTTCTCGTCTTCCAACCTTAGGAGAAAGTCCTCAAGCGTGGCCATTCTCTGAGACCCATCTCCGCTCGGAGCAACCTCGCCAAGAATCTCACCAACGGTTCTTCTGGGGACAAAAGCCAAACTCAAATCCAAGCTCAGTTCCATCTTCGGGTAACAAACTCACGAGTGGGAACAAAACACAGAAAAAGGTTAACTAACTAACTTCAAAGTTTCAGTGTCGCATCGCGTTTAGGCTTAAGGTGCCAAACCATTGTTATTATTGTTTGATTACAGACGGAGGGAGAAGGGGATAGAGATTCATTTATTTATATTAGAAAATATGTGATTCGGTACAGAAAGATTCAGTGATCGCATTCGGGTCGTCGCGTAACTCCATTAGTGTAAATGTGTAATATGACTCAAAACAGAGGCCAACGGTTGTAATAATTTGCGACCAATTTTTTTGTTTGTTTTGGAATAAAACACAAAAAAACCAATTGGTTGTGGTAGATATGAGAATCTTTCGATTCCGTAAAATCACGGCTTATATAATATGGTTGTGTTGCATTAATTGGTTGGATGAAATTAAACAGTTTTGGATTGGTGTGGTTTCTGGGAGATTCTTTTGTTACTGGACTACTGCCTCGAGTCTCCTACAAGTTCAGACAAACATTGACCCACACATGTAGAATGCAGTTGCATAATAATTAAGCCAATGTTTTTAAACATTTTTTATAATTTGTGTTTATCTTAACAATTATTTGTATCACATTATTTTTATCTGTCTTTATTAGATTTAGAGCAAGTCACATCTTTAACATAATGTACGGTCTAAAATAGCTTATTATTTAATAATAGCATAATAACTCTTTACAGTATCACAGTGTTTAAGTTGAAATTTGTGAGAAAGTGTTTAAAAAAACGCATTGAACAATAACAAAGATTTTGCGATATTTTGAGAGCCAATCACCTGATTTAATTTTTTTTTGGTGTCATCAAATTATAATATTTCTATTAAAAATTCATATTTTTTAATAAGAATAAATTAATATAATGACCAATTGAACGAGGGATAGGAAAAAAAAATACGGGAGAGAAGTCGGATTATCAACTATCACATTTTTTTCACCCGGTTTGTATTTAACAAGGTTTTTTAATTATAACTTTTCTTCATTTTAATAATACCTATGAAATAATTATCATCAAATTTTATAAAAAAAATGAAACTATAAAAAATATTTATATAATGAGTGAATTTATATATTATATAACCTTATAATTAATTATGCGTGTCACATTTCTTATTATATTTCAACTTTATCTACAATTATTCTTAATGGTTTGACATTGATTATTCCAAGCTTAAATTTTCATATTATATTATTTAAAAAAAATGGTTTTGAAATTCATAATCCCTTTTATATTGTAGCATTAGAGAGGAATATCTCTAATTCATTGCATATTATTATTTGAGAGGAATATCTTTTAGATCGGGTCATAGTTCAATAAAATTGCATTAGAACATTGTATTAGATGTGCAAACTTTTGAGAATATATTATAACATTGTTGTATAGATATAATTTTGCCTAGAGAATATACCTACTAAGATATTCCTTAATATGTGATAACAATGGTGAAGGATTCTCTTGATGACCATTAAGAACTTTCACAATCTACTTAATGATTAAAGAGATGTGGAATGAAAAATGGATGGTATGTTATGTGTGACTTTTCTTTAAATACCGATTTTGGAGAGAGAGTTTTTTAAGATGGATATGGGTTACGAGACTACATGCAAATTAAAAACTATTAAAATAATATTTTAATGATAATTGAAATAATAATTCTATAATATATATATATATATATATATATATATATATATATATATATATATATATATATATATATGTGTGTGTGAATTATTATAGTGATTGTGAAAAAATATCCTAAGATTATATTAAAAATGATCTTGATTTATAGTATATATTTAAAAAATATAAATAGATAATGATAAGTGAAGAATAAAAAAGAAAGTACCTAAATCATGAGAATGAAAATATGAAAAGAGATATGGTACAATAAAATAATAAAGAATACAACTAAGTATAAAGAAAATATTAATAAAAAAAGATTTTTTTACCATGTAAATCGACGTCAAATATTTATATAATTAATATAAATTGATGTCGATTTTTATATTTAACGTAAATTTATGTTTTCTGTATTATGTTAGATATTTAATAACATGATTAGGTAATATAATATTCACATAGTATAATATGATATATGATATTAATATAATGGTGTAATATGATATTCACGTAATTAAACAAGTGAAAGAGGAGAAGGACAAAAAAAACACAAAGATGATAACATTATACAAATAAAAAATAAAAGAAAAAAAATGGAACACAATAAGTGAGAAATATAAAAAAATGAAAATAAATAAATATCCCAAGAAAATAATAAAATATGATATATTTAAATAAATTAAATAAAATTATTATTATAAATACATATAATAACAATTTTTAGAACAACCATCCCACATAATTATAATAAAAATTGTCATACAAATTTTAATTTTATTATAAAAATATTAGTATTTTTTTCACCTACTGATATTAAAAAAAATTGTCATTTTAAACATATTTTATAATAGTGCATACATTATAATTAAACTCAAAACTATATAGAGATGCATTTTGAACATGATACTTTAGTATTTTGTTAAAATAAAATACTTTAGCATTTTGTTAAAATAAAATGTTGTTTTGATGAAATCTTATAAGGCAATCGAAGACACACAAAACATTAGTATTATTATAAATAATATCCTATTATCTACAAATAAAAATAATATCAACGTTAACTTCTTAAACTTATTTATAAATAAATCACTTTTCCTTTAAAGAAAAAAAATCCGTTTCTTACTTTTTTCATGTCTTACATATTTTTATGTGTCATTATAAACTGCATTGAATTTGATAATTTTCTTAATGAGTTAGGTAGTTGAGTGAATTATTAAAAAAAAAAAGTGATATGAAAATACGTAAAATATGAATATGTAAAGCAAAAGCAAGTGAAAGTAATTTTGGCATGTGTGAATGTGAAGTCATTTTGCAATACGGGCAGCGGGAGAAGGCTGTCATGTGAAGATTCTTTTGACGTTATTCATCGTCACCTCTCACCAATCACCATAAGACTGCCCAATGCCATTCTCTCTTTCCCTTCTTCATTTTGTGGCCTTCCCACACACTCCCATAACCCATTCATTCCTGTGGTCCTTCTTCAAAACACACACACTCTGCATCTTCGGTTTCCAACTAAAATAAGATTCTCGCAAGGTCCGAAAAGAAACAACACGTGACTACCGATACCTTGTGTTGATGAAGGGTGAGATTGTTGTTTGTTGTTGTATGCTTCTGGGGTCCCCCTTGTTTGGTACCGCTACCACCGAATCCTGCCTTCCCCAATTTATTTCTCTGTTTGGATGATGAAACCAACCACTTCACACAGACACTCACTTTTGCTAACACCACACCACTTGTTCGATTTTATTCCCCCTCCTCCTCCTTCTTCTTCTTCTTGCTCTTTCATCAAAATTAATGGATCAAAAGTTCTTCTCTTCCTCAAATTTAATTTCAACCTTCTGGATGCACCATTATTATGTGCATTGTATGAAAATCTGTTCTATTCTGTATAGTGTTCAAACTCAAATATGAATCACATCATCTGTTTTTTTATCACTTCCTCTTTAACCTAAATGTCACAATTAGTGGTGCCCTCAAATTTGTTTTATTTAACCATGACCACCATAATAGTCTTTGTTTTTCTTTTTAATCTTTTTTAAGTTAAATTTCTTGAACAATTGTGAACAGGTATATTTTAAAAGACAAGGGGAGAGAAACAAATTTATTTTAGTGTAATAAAGTGAAAGTTACTTGTTAGAAATTATAAAGGAGTTATTTAGGTTTAGGATTTGGGTAGGAAGTGACTCTTTTGGATTTGATGACTGAGAATTATGGACACGTGTGAGAGAAGTATCCCATCCCATCCCATCATATCCTAACGTGGGATATTATATGATGTGGGCCCATGTACTGTATTCCATGTGCATCGAGTTAGAGATAAGGATTCGAGAGGGATAAGACTTTTGGCAGGTTTTGTTTATTTTTGTACAATCACAAATCGCCATGAATATATATCAAGATGCCTCTTTTTTTTAATACATTCATTTCAAAAGGGGTACACAAAAGGACAACTGTTACCAGCCATTGCTTTTCTTCTAACTTTATTCTTCCTTCTGTATAATGTATTCATTATATTTATATATTACTATATTTTCATCAATAAATTAAATATCTATTTTATTTTTATACACCTTCTACATCATTTTTTTTTCATATGTATAAATTGGGAAAATTTTTAAAGTAATGTTAAATTAAATATGGATATAATTTGTCCTATTATGTAATTTTCTTACTATGGATTAGGAACAGGAAGGAACTCGAACATTCCCTTTCTCCCATCTTAGTACATGAATGACTGTCAGATTATTAACGGTCCAAAATATATACCGACAACGATGCTAACCAGAATTTTTTTGGCCAGACGTATTTATTTAGTTAAATTGATCCCTTTATTTATTTTTTAACACATTAAGTTATTAAATTATGGGTTTTGGTAGATTAATAAGTTATTTTTATTAATATATATATATATAACATATTTATTTATTTTTTAAAAATATAATCGTAATTTTTAAATAGATAATATTATAATAATAGATTTTAATAATAATATTATAATAAATATAAAATCTCATTCATAAATAAAATATTGACTTTTAGATAAAATCTCTTTTCATTTATATCTTGATCAATAATTGAGAGATTATATTATTCTCTTAACTCACTAAATATCTTTCAATAATCAAATTGTGAATACTAGAATTTTAATATTCACAATATATTTTCTAAAAAAATATTATATATATATATTATACTTTTTAATTCAATAAACATAATATAATTTAAGATAATTAATTATTTATCTTTTTATTTAATTTTTTAACTCTTATTTGTGAATTATTTAATAATAAATAATTTTTTAAAAATAAAAATAAAAATAAAAGTATATTTTTTAAAAATTGATAATTGATATTAATGAATATTTGAAAGTAGTTAATTATATTTCTATTTTTATCTAATTTTAAACTCTTACTCATGAATTATATAAAGATAAATTATTTCGTAAAAACAAAAATTAAAAATTTATTTAATAATATTATTATAATATACATAAAATCAAAATATTCTCAATAAGTATTTTATAAGCGTGATATTATTTTAAGATAGGTAGTTTTACTTATATTTTTATTTAATTTTGAATTCTTATTCGTAAATTATTTAGAGATAAATTATTTCTTAAAAGTAAAATTAAAAAAATTTATGACAACAGTATAATATTAAAACGAACAACAAAGGAGGCATTTTATTAAAACGTTGGAAGTAAAGTTAAAAAAAAAACTTTAAGTTTTATGTTATTTGGAATAATGTCTAGAAAATAATATAACTTATTAAATAACTTTTGTACTAATAATTTTATATACTTTTATTCAACACATATGAAAAAAAAGAATAGTTTAAAATGATGAAGAGAATTTTTTTTTATTAAATAAAAAATGTATAAAATAGTTTAAAGATAAAAAGGAAAAACATATTAAAAATATCTAGCTAAAAGAATGACAAAAAATAAGAATCTCTCACTTTATATCATATATTCCCATTTATAATATAAAAATAATATATAGAAGCTCACTTATTTAAAAGTTTACAATTTGTTCAGAAAAATTGAAATAAAATAAAATAAAAATTGATGTATCTTGGAGTCAACCACTGTTCACTTCAATGAGAGCTATGTATAGGAATCCAATAATTCGAATATTTTCAATCAAAGTTCCATTTTTTTCTCTAGTGAGAATACTTTTTATCCCCATCTATTTCTCACGTTTTGAAAAGGATTGATTCCGATCCCTTCCATGAAATCGTCAATAATTTTCATTATCAATGTTATTAAATAAATAAAATTAAAAAACTATTAACCAAATAATAAATATTTTTTATTTTCTTTATATCTTTTCAAATATTTCAAGATATATTTAATTAAATAAAATAAGAAATTTATATTTTTCTTTTATACTTCATTGTACTTCTATCAATTTCTATTTTTATTTGTTACTTCAATCCAGATATTTCTATTTTTAATTGTTACTTAAATCCAAAAAACATTTATTTTTATTGTTACTTTTATTTTATACTCCAACAATCTCACTGAATGAACCAAATATAAGAGTTTATAATTGATTAAGTCTCCTTATAGTTCAAATATTTATTACGCTTAATTAATAAAAAAAGACTAATTTATATTTATTACTTCTAATTAATAAAAAGGTTAATTTCCAGGAACATAAATAAATAAATAAACTTGAAACATGTTTCAAAGTTTTAATTTTTTAATTTTTTTCCCTTCTAGACTCAAATATATCTTAGGAACCCAAAACAAACATCTTCTTAGTCTCCATTAAACCCAAAAATTCGAATCTGATGAATCCGAAAAATTTAAGTTTTCTAGAAATATATTTTAAGCCCGAACCTCTTTATGTCTAACTCATGCCCACCTCTAATAGTTCTAGTATTGATTTTTTTATTGTATTTTAAAAAATTATTAACCAAATTTAAAAATAAATAAATAAAATATTAAGGGTTGGTTTAGATTGATTTAACATATCACTTTCTTATAAATAGTTATTAATAAAGTAAAATATATATTTAATTCTTAAATAATATTTTCACTATTATTATTTCATTATAAGTGTTTCAAGAAATCATTATTATTACAGTTATGTGTGTTTTTGTTAGTTAAATATAGGATTAAAATTGATGGTAAACCTTCATTTTTTAAAATCATTATTTTAATTCAACAACCATAATAGGTGAGTAATTAAAATTACATTAAGATATAGTATTAAAACTTATGCAAAATATTTGTATCTTTTAAAATAATAATTTTTTTTTAATGAAAGATACTATGTTTGAAGATTCAAAATTATAAACAAAATCACCCATTTATGTGTCTTTATAACTAATTTGTAATCCATGATTGAACATAGAATTTTTTAATACAATATTTTTAATATAATAATAATATAAAATAAAAGTTTTCAAATAATAAAATATGCTTCAATTAGTCTAAAAATATAAAAAAATACAATTATTATATAATAAAAACTATAAATATAGTTAAATTTCTAAACAATATATAAAAAACTGAATTTTCAAATTCGGGAACCAAGGCCCAAACATGATTTGGTTTATATTGATCTATTCCATATAATTAAAAAAAAAAGTTTGTAGTGCTTGGAAAATTTATCAAATACATAATGACGAAATTTAATGTTAGTTAAGTATTTAACAATTTCAAATATATTTAATTCAATTATAAATTATGAAAAAGAATATACATTTAGAAAAATAAAAACAATATAATAATAGTAATTTTATTTCTGTACTTTTGACTTAATATTCTAGTAGGCAGTTGAAAGAAAACTATCTCTGGGAGAGGATGGTAAGAAAGAAGAAAAAGAGATGTTTTATTCTTGGTAGTGAAACAAGTGCATTGATTATGTTCCTCCATGAGTTGAAAATTGATATCTTCACCTAACTATGATATGAAAATGTGCAACACGCTATTTATCTCCCAATCTGTCTCTCGTTACCCATCAAAACCTTTGTCCCTTCCTTGCTTATTTCCATTTTAGGTGGAATGAATTAACTTCACAATAATTACCTTTTCAACATTAACCATCCAACATTTTCTTGCTTTGCATTTCAAGCCTTACCCAAAATCACTTTCTCTTCCTTCACTCTTGCTAAATCATATCATTAACCAGCACTGACTGATTCACACGCATCACACTGTCTCATTCATTCCGTAGCAGTTTTTCTGTGTTGACCAATTACCATCAAAATCCATTCTCTGTTCTCTATTTCAAATAAAACTTTTTTTTCTCTCTCTTTTGAAAGGGTCTTAGAACTTAGAACCAAACCCCTCAACTCAAGTGCCTTGCCTGTACTGTACCATGACAGTAACACTCACCCACCCTCTATAATCAACACAACTATTTAGTAACACAACTTTATTGCTTACAGATGAACGTTTCAAACATAAGTTTCATCATTAATACTTCTTTTTCTTTTCATCAAGCCATGTCATATTATTTTCAGTTTAATCAATAGTGTTAAACTTCAGTTTTACATACTCATTGTGTTATACACAAGTAGAATTCATCACTTACAGTAGTTTCTACACAGTTTTAATAGAATTATATATCGTATCACCTTTTTTTTTGCACATTTGTTAAGAAAAAGTTAAATTAACTAATAATTATTAACTCACCACACTCTCCAAACAACAATAAATACTATAATGAAGGTTGAAACAAATGGGAAGAATTTGGAGTTAACTTTCATTCTTTCATAAACACCATTTTTCTTTTTACATTAATAAAATCTTTGTTTAGTAAGTGTTGTTTTTCTACAAGTTTTTTTTTCATAAAATTAACATAAATACTAAATTTTTTATTACAGTCGTACATTATACATACTTACTTAATCAGTATATTTATTTATTATATATATATATATATATATATTTTTATGTAAAATTATCATTAAGTATTTAAATTTTTTTCATATTTTTCTTCTAATTTTATATTTATTTTCTCTAATTTTATATATTTGATCCGTTAATCATTATTTTATGATAAATTTATTTATAATTGAGAATATATAAATATATTATTTGATAAAAAAATATATTTTAATTTTATATTATTTAAAAAATAAATTGATGACTAAAATTTATGTGTAGTTGTCTTAATCTATTTATTTATCGTGTTCACGTTCAAATCTATATCTTTTTTATTAAAAGACAACAAAAACAGCTGAGTTACGTTGGAATCCACCGTCAGCAGTTTCTGTTATGTTCTAAAAAAATTGTTAGCTTCACAAAAATAAGAACTAAGTGGTATTAAAACTCAGAGTCTGAAATTGTGGTGGAAGATATTTGTGTGAAAAATATCTAACAAAGAAAAGAATAATAACAGTAATAATGAGCAAGGTGAGAGAATGAGGAGAAAGAAAAAGAGGAAGGCGACAACATTGCTTACGCGGCATGGAGCGGAAGGTACGTCATTTCGGACACAGAGATGAAACGACATCGTTTCTGTGCGGTTGGTTTCACCCATTTGCAGTTGCTTGCTTCCGTTCTAACCCAATCCACTAATATTTTTTATCTATTCTATTCCTTCTCTTCTCTTTCCCTCCCCAACAAACCCATCCATCCCACACAAAGTCTTCTCTTCTCTCGCTCAACTCCCTTCCGCGAATCGTCGTGTTGTTGTTCTCCGCTCCACTGGAAACGGTGCCATATTCAGTTATCTGATTTAAGCGCGGGTCAAGAGCGAACAAAAAAGGTTCCGTTATTGCCGTTGCTTTTTATATTTTTTTTCTTCTTCCGGTTCGTTTTTTAGATGGATCGGGCGGCGTTGACTATCGGACCGGGCATGGACATGCCGATCATGCACGACAGCGACCGGTACGATCTGGTCCGTGACATTGGGTCCGGAAATTTCGGCGTGGCGAGGCTGATGCAGGATAAACAGACCAAGGAACTCGTTGCTGTCAAGTACATCGAGAGGGGCGATAAGGTTGTCTGAACGAATGAATGAATGAGCAAAAGCGTTTTTTTTTTTTTTTCTGATTTTTTGTGTGTTTTCTTTGGTGCTGTTTCCTTTGTTGCCCCTTGTTTTGGTAAATTTTTTGTTTTCACGCTTTTGGCGAAGGGGGAGAGGGAAAAAACTAATTGTCCACATGATCGACTTGCTTTAATTGTTTCTTCGGTTGTTGCTGACGTGTGATGCTATTTTTGTTATGTTCCTAGTTTCCATTTTTGTTTCAGTACTACTTGTTTCTGTCTCTTTTCTTTTTTAATAATTTTGTTACGGCATTGCTTATCACTTAGCAAGTAGCAGTTTCTTTATGGTGTTATTGTGCCTCACAGATTGATGAAAATGTAAAGAGGGAGATCATTAATCACAGGTCTTTGAGACATCCCAACATTGTTAGATTTAAAGAGGTAAGTATATTTTCAAGGTTTTAGATAACTGTCTGTGACTGGTTTTGCCGCAAAACGCCAAGGATTTTCTCGTGTCCGAAACATCAATTGTGGCCACATCGGCCATAATTTTCTGACTGTCTTGTTGGCCACACTGTTAAGGTTTTTGGAGTGGTAGTGACGGCTATTGTGGTCACATTTATATATTTTTACTTTTGGATGTTGATATTGTTCATAGGAAAAGCAATCATTGATTTGTAATGTTTTATAAAATTTCACACAGGTTATTTTAACACCTACTCATCTGGCGATTGTTATGGAATATGCATCTGGAGGAGAGCTCTTTGAGAGAATATGCAATGCTGGGCGTTTTACTGAGGATGAGGTTCTTATTTATTTTGTTTACATATTCTTCACTTGATCATTACCAATTGAGCTGTTTACATGTAGACACCCGTGACTTACCAAACAACCTTCCAACATCCATGTTGTTTAGATTTTTATATTATTATTTATTTACTTCACTTTATACCCTTTCAATCAATAAAAAAAATTATTATTTTAAGGATGTCAATTGGATGTTTGTAAAATTTGGGTGTCTATCAATCTTTTCCTTATCAATTTGTATTTTTAATATGCTGTTTTGCTTATGCAAGTATCTAACTCTTTGCTATGTTTCAGGCTCGATTCTTTTTTCAACAACTCATCTCTGGGGTTAGTTATTGCCATGCTATGGTAATTGAACATTTTTCCTTTCTGCTCTGTTCGATCTAATTTGTGTTTAAACTGAACCGAAATATAGTATATATATTGTATCAGTCTTCTGAACGTTGTGTCTGATATATAAATCTTCTTTGTAATATATCTCTTCATGAAGCAAGTATGTCATCGGGACTTAAAGCTGGAAAACACTTTGCTAGATGGCAGTCCGGCACCTCGTTTGAAGATATGTGATTTTGGGTACTCCAAGGTAAGGTTTTCTTTTTTTCACTAGCTTTTCAGGTGTGAGTTCCATGCTTTTGCATATTTTACTGGAGTTGTTGGGTTGAATAATATTTAACTCCAGTTACTTTCAGCTCGTGTGTGCGTGCGTTTCATTTTTTCTTCACACACTTTTGTTCACCAGATTTAGACTGTGATGATGAAGTTGAACTCCTTAAGTTACAAAGATTATTTAAAAAATCTGGGATGTTGATGCTGAATTTTTATACCCTAAACTCTTTAATAGGCGTGTGGCCCATTATGAATTCCAGTGAGCTAGAGTTTAGATTTTTGAAATTATGAGCATATGTAAGCTTGTCACAACACTATAGTGTTTCCTGGGGAGAAAACGGAGTAGTTGGCCATTGCAGGTTATTGTTATTGTTTTTTGTTAACTTGTGTCTCTCTTTCTTGTGTTCTAGCATTGGAATTAAAATTCATGCCGAGTTCCTTGAAATTTGCTTTATTATTTTGTTTCTTTGATTCAATTTCCTTCTGATTTGTAAGTGCCTGAACACCATGTCATATCTCACAAATCTGATGGATGGTGTGATTTACAGTCTTCAGTGCTTCATTCACAACCAAAGTCAACTGTCGGGACTCCTGCGTATATTGCTCCAGAAGTTTTGCTGAAACAAGAGTATGATGGCAAGGTAGAGAATTTACTGTTTAATTTCATGGTATTTTTCTTTTTGCATAGATCCATTACTGTCACCATTAATTGAACAATTTTGTTGTTAACTTGTCATCTTTTATTGACTAAAGCAATGATATTGTCTAGTTTTTTCACCCAATCAAATTGTCATTTTGGTCTGCACTCCAAACAAAGGTCATTTTTGTTTGTTTGTTGTGTGCGCCTAATAATTTAGGACTTTGTGGCACTAGCTTAAAATCTTAACTTGGCAAGGAAACGCAGACCCATCAAAATTAGTCATGTCAAAGGATATATATATATATATATATATATATATATATATATATATATATATATATATATATATATTTTTTTTAAGTACATCAATAAAAAATATGAAGTTCTTGAATGCAATTAAATCATAAATCTAGTTGAGATCATTGCTATCTAACTTCACCCTTTATTTCATTTGTTCTCTATAATTTATTTTTAAAATTAACATTGAGATATGTGGCTTCACTTTCAAGTTTGATTTGATGTGTTTTTGTCTACAATATCCACACTTATACAATTGCACTAATCACCATCTACTGATGAGTGATCCACCCCTTCCTTCAATTTTCAATATCATTAGAGTAGGGCAAGTATGAAATGGGTTTAAACATCAAAGATATTTCTTTTAACTTTACTAGTTTGCTTGTGGAGTAGTATCTTAATGGGTTGCTTCTGTTATGTTTTCTTGCATTTATAATTAGCTTGCAGATGTCTGGTCATGTGGAGTCACCTTATATGTGATGTTAGTGGGAGCATATCCTTTTGAAGATCCTAATGAACCAAAGGACTTTCGGAAGACTATTCAGGTATATCAGATCTCTAGCTATTTGCTCATTTTCTGATTGCTTGATTGCAACTTGTGATTGCTGCTACCTGCTTCTTCGCAGAGAATTCTTAGTGTCCAGTATGCCATTCCAGACTGTGTTCAAATATCTCAAGAGTGTCGCCACCTTATCTCAAGGATTTTTGTTTTTGACCCAGCAGAGGTAATTTGTATTTCAAATAACTGACCTACTACTGCAGTACATAAATTGGACAATACACAATCGTAGAGTAGTTTTGTTCTTTAGATTCATTTTTTATATACTACCACTTGAATGTCTTGTTAAATTTTTTGTCGCACTATTATGTCTATCATAATATAGGAATGTATTGTAGGCTATCAAACATTAAGTGTGATCATAGAGAGCAGGGGAAAGTGATGAATGTGTTTTGACTTAGTTGGGTTTGCTGACTGTAAAATATAGGAATTTAACTTAAATCAAAATATTTATTTGAATTTTATGTCTTTGGATATTTACGTGACAGAGAATCACCATGTCTGAAATCTGGAACCATGAATGGTTTCTGAAGAATCTCCCTGCAGACCTGATGGATGAGAAGATAATGAGTAATCAATTTGAAGAGCCAGACCAACCCATGCAGAGCATCGATACGATCATGCAGATAATTTCAGAAGCTACCGTACCAGCAGCCGGGACCTATACTTTTGACCAGTTAATGGGGGAGCAAATTTATGACTTGGAATCTGAATCTGATGCTGAATCTGAGCTTGATATAGATAGCAGTGGGGAGATAGTGTATGCCATATAGTTTGATCTTGGCTTGGCTTGAAAAACAACATATTAAATGGAGAGCATCTGAATATTGAGCTTGGGATTTTCAGCATCAAGAGAAGTATGTGAGGCCCACATTTTCTGTAGATTAGCCTGGACAATACAAACTTGCTGTTAATATTTATGTACTCAGTGTCGGTCGCTGAGGGAAGGAATGATTGTTACCCTTTCCTCTTCCAGGTTAATGCTTGCTTTATATACATATTAACCCTTTTTGTTGTTTTCCAGCTAGTTTAATTGGCTGATGGGTGAATGATGTTTCATGCCCTTCCTTATATACACACTCCATTCCATGTAAACAGTTCTTTTTCAGTAGGCATATTTGTCAGTTTGTGTACTTTAGTACTACTCAACAATTAAATACAGATTAAAAAGATATTATGTGAGTATGGTGGATTAGAAGGTGCTTTGATAAACAAAAAGGTATAACACATCATAGAGTTCATTTTTGGAAAAAGATACGTTCACATCCCTTTAAACATAAACAACATTTCTACAATTCCTTTCATTAATATAATACTAATCAAATTTTAAAATTATTATTATTATTATTATACTAAATATGAGTTGACGAGTAGACGTAGATAAAATTTAGGTTCTGAATAGATTGGTGCTCTTTATTTTTCAAACATCCTACAATACAAGATAAATGTGTACGTTGGAAGATACTTTTTTTCTTTATGTTCATTTTCTGTGGATAATAAAATAAGATAGTGCTGAATTTATTGCAAAATTCTTATGATAATAGTTATTTTAACATTTTGCTTGTTGAGTAATTATTTGAATAAGAAGATATTGGTGATATGAAAATAGTGATGAAAGGAGATGTTTGACCGCTGTACTCACGATGATAATAATAAAAATTTATAAATATATATGTAAGAGAGGCTCATTTATAACTTTTTTTTTCATCTAAAGAAAAAAACTAATGTAATTTTAAAAAAATATTATAATTTATATATTTAAAGAATAATAAAAATATGAATGATAAGTAATATATAATTAATATAGAAAAAATGGATATTCAGAGACTGAAAAGAAAAATAAAATAAAATATTAAAAAATTAATAATAAAAAATACAAATATATTAAATGGGCATTTTTATTTTAAACTTGATTGAAAACATTTTAGTATATAAAATAAGATTAATAGCAGAATATACAATATAAAAAAAATGTAAAAATGTTCAAGAGCTTAAAATTAACTAAAAAAATAAAATTATAAATACCCAAAATATATTGTTATAAAAAATAATAAAAGTAAAAATAAAAATAATATAAAATATCGTATAGATATGTTTGTTTTTATTTTTATATTTATTAATTATTTTGATAGATAGTTTTAGTAAATACATTTATTGAACAGCTTTTGAGCTATTAACTAGTTTTTCAGGCACTTTATCAAAGTCCAAAGAGACAATCCAAATAAATCAATTCAATTAACAATGGATTATTTATAATACTATTTTTTGTCTGTATACTGTTTGGTCATAATGATTTACACAACACAGGGAAATTTAAAGGAGAAAAGGATAAGAAAAGATAAAAGAAAAAGTAAATTGCTAAGGGAGGTTAAAAAAAAAATGGTTACCAAGAGGAAGAAGAAGGACAATGACATTTTGCTTCTTGAATGTGCCTTGCAGGTAGGGGCATGTTGTGGCTTCTTCTCACCATGGCAAAGTATTTAATGGGAAGTTTTAATTTAGAATATGAAGCTCGAATTCTTATTATGACTGTTATATTATATCACAATTTATTTGATATAAAACAAGTTTGGTTCAAATGGTTTAATCCGTTACTTTTAAATGATTAAAATTTAATTGAAGCGGTAAAATAAAAAAATTAATTAAATTTTTAAGTTGAACTAATTTTATCAAAATGAAAAAATAGATTTTTTTTAAATATAATTTTTTGTAAAAGAATATAATTTTATTTTTCATTTATTTCGTAATTTTAAATAATATGTTTTTATAATTATTACTTTTTTATTTTTATTATATTTTACATAATAATATGATAATTTATTATATTTAAAAAATTATTATTATTAATGAACTTGTTATATATTTGTATAATAAAAGATTTATTTTATTAAATTTGATTAGATTTACATTAAATATTTATATTTAAATTTATGTCTTCATCAATTAAACTAATCCTCACCCATTTTTTTTTCGAAAATTGATATCATCTAAAAATAATTTTTTCAGGTAACATATGTTATATATATATATAAATTATTTATTATTATTGATAAACAAAAAATATTGATATGTTTTTATTAATTCATGATAATAATAATTTATAAAAATAATTGTGATTGTAAAAAATATAATATATAATTTTTATATATATTTTAATCAAGAGTAATTATTAACAAAAAAAACATTTATAGCAGAACTCAAAACAAATATTATTTGTCTCTACATAATCTACATAATGTTTATAATAAAGAAGCTTTGCTAAAAATTTATTTAAGGTGTATTATTTTTGTCTCTTTCATTTATTCATGCTTGAAAATTTATAGTTTTAGTTCATCAAGAAATAACATTATCAAATCAAAGGTCTTAACATCTTCTTCACCTGTATATAGAAATGTTACAATGGAACAACTCAGATTAAATAGGTTATTTTTTAAAAGTTAAGTAAAAAATAAACGAGTTTGACCCGATTCACTTTATGGTGAATAAAAAATTTTAGAATGTAGTTCAACCCATTATGGTTGAGTGGATTGACTCGTTAACTCACTACAAATACAACAAATATATATATATATATATATATATATATATATATATATATATATATATATATATATATATATATATATATATGGGTCTTTTCGAATAACTAGCTAATAATAGAGAGATTCTCACAAATGGGACACAGACCAATCATATAAGAGAATATGATATCACATTCAATCCAAAACCTTAAGTCATTAAGTTATGAGTCTTTCTCACTTATAAGTTACTTAACTTTTCCATTTTTACCCAATGTGTGACTTCAAATACACTTGAATTATCAACCATCTCCCCCTCAAGTGTGATTCCCTTTCACATACCTCCCTTTTGAGCGAAAGCATTTCTTAACCATGAGTATCTAGTAGTGACCTTACTTGTACCGTCGTTCAACTCAACGGAATTGCTTGCCTATAATATTTGTCAGGAAGACTTTTAATACAATGATCCACAATATAGGATCCTTCATTTATTCTAATTATACTTAATTGAGCTAGTTACCAGACGAATCATCAGCTCTGATATCACTGTGATAGGGATAAACAACACAACAACCTAAAATACCAAATTATGCAGTGAAAATAATTTTCCTAAACTTGCAAGAATCTGTGAAGAACAACAAAAATAGATAATGACAAAAATAATCACAATAAGAACACCAATATGAGAAGTACAAATCTATGGACACAAGTCAGTCAAGTAAGCTCCACTAAGATCAAAGTATGAGTAAATCAAAATGCACAATTCACAAATAAATGCTTACAAATCAACCAATATATCAAAACAATAGTGCTCTCAAGTTTGAAGAACAAAGAAAAAAAACCTTAAAATCAGTCATAATGCGAGACTGATATCTTCAACCATAGACTTCTAGTTGACGATCCCAATGGTCAAAATAAAGACCTTTACGCTGTCAACCTGCTGCCAAAATTTCAACTTGGTACAACGATGAACTAAGCGATAATTGTAATTTTACATAGACGACTTGATAAATAAACGAAACTAATTTCTTTTCTTTTTCTTTTCCAAAGGGTTGCAAAATGTTCTCTAACCTAGCAAACCCTCTTCACTTAGATTAAGTGAGATGAAATGAGTTTGACTAATTTGGACTTTTGAGATACATAGTTGGGAGCCTAACCCAACATATCTCCCCCTCACAACTATGTGGAGATGATCACCAATCCGACAATCTCACAACAAGTTTCAAACTTCTGCCTTAGTAATGCCTTAGTCATTGTATCAACATTATTTTCATCTTCGTCTGTATGCACTTTATCTAACTCCAACAACTTAGCATCTAAAATATCACGTATCTAATGATGCTTCACATCAATATGTTTTGATCTAGAATAAAAAGTTAGATTCTTACCAAGATGAATAACTCTCTGACTGTCCACAAATAATGGATAATTGTTTTGCACAAAACCAAACTCCTACAAGAATTTCTTCAACCATAGCAACTCCTTGCATGCTTCTGTAATGACAATGAACTCTACTCTGTAGTAGATAATGTTACACACTTTGACAATGTTGATTGCCAAGCCACAACTTCCTTGCAAATTTAATCAAATAGCCTGAAGTATTTCTGGAATCAATGTCTCCAGCCATATCTGAGTCTGAGTAACCCATTAAAATGGATTTATTACCTCCAAAACAAAGTTTCAAATCACTAGTATCATGAAGATACCTCAAAATCCATTTCACAACATTCTAATGCTCTCTACTTGGATTGGACAAGAAATGACTAACTACACCAACAACATGTGAAATATTAGGTCTAATACATACCATTGCATACATCAAACTGCTCATTATAGATGCATAAGGAACTTTAATCATATATGGTTTGTCAACTTCATTTGAAAGACTCTACTTAACACTTAATTTAAAATGAGTTGAAGAGGAGTGTTCACTGCTTTAACATTCTCCATCTAGAATCTCTGCAATACTTTCTTAATGTAGTGCTCCTGTGATAGCCAAATCTTCTTTTCACTTTTATCACGTGGGATACTTATGCCAATTATCTTTTTAGCAGCTCCCATGTTTTTCATAGCAAATGACTCGCCCAATTATTTCTTTAACCTGTCAATTATGAAAATATTTTTCCCAATAATAAGTATGTCATCAACATATAACATGATAATAAAGTCATCATCAGAGAACTTTTTAACAAAGACACAACGTCCAGAAGTAGTCCTTTTATAATCTTGATCACACGTAGAAGACTCAAACTTCT